GGTATTTTGTTGTTTGATGCTGGCTTTAGACCCTGTATATTTGCAAAGAAGAATGTCATCGAACTGGTGGTAGTGTTGGTACTGGGGGGGGGGATTTTTTTTCCGGCATTAGTATCTGTATCTGTTGGTTTGGAGTGGAGGCCATCGACTGTGGTTCCACTCCAGGAATGACTGGATTTGGTGTACGATTTCTGCCATTTCCTGCCAGTTTTTTTTTCCTTCCTGGCACTAAAAAACCTCTCCCTCTTGAGTGACCAGGTGTGGACGTATCAGTGGTTCATTACTTTGTAATTTGTTCATGACTGTAACCATGTATAGGAGTGAAGCTGATTCATTACCTCTGTAACTTGCCATGATTAGTGACCAGATCTACCTGGAGTTCATTACCTTTGTAACTAGTTCAGCTATCATAACTTTGGGGTCCAGTCACTGGACCCATTATGTACCTTTGTAATCTTTTGACTACCGCCCACAGGATGGGTATGGGGTGCATAAAGATATTAAACTAAAGTGTGTGTGTGTGTGTGTGTGTGTGTGTGTGTGTGTGTGTGTGTTGTGTGTGTGTGTGGTGTGTGTGTGTGTGTGTGTGTGTGTGTGTGTGTGGTGTGTGTGACTCAACAATCAATATTTGCACCAATAACTCATTACAGTTGTGACCGGGTGTGGAAGTGTGAATTGCTCATTGCTCTATAATTTGTTCATGATTGTAGCCAAAGTATAAACGTAAGTAACCATTCTACAGAATTCATTACCTTTGTAACTTGTGAGCTCATTACCTTTGTACCTAGTTCAGCTATCAAAACTTTGGGGGCCCAGTCCTGGACCCATTACGTACCTCTGTAATCTGTAAATACCTTTGTAACTTGTCATGATTGTGACCAGACTTACCTGGAGTTCATTACCTTTGTAAATTGTGAGTTCATTACCTTTGTAAATTGTGAGTTCATTACCTTTGTAAATTGTGAGTTCATTACCTCTGTAACTTGCTCAGCTATCAAAACTTTGGAGTCCAGTCCCTGGACCAATTATGTACCTCTGTAATCTTTTGACTACCGCCCACAGGATGGGTATGGGGTGCATAATAAACATATTAAACTAACATAAACTCTTGAGTGGCTGTGGCTACCCAGGTTTTCCCATGGCCTGGATGTTTTGTATCTTTTTGTCCCCTTTAGATGGTGTGCCTGGCAATTTAAGTTATAGCACAGTCTTTCCTGTACTGAAGAGGTACATATTTCAGGGTGAAAAAGCTTACAGGAAGGGAGTTTGCATTTTCCTGTTGTCATATGGGCATGGCATTTTCTAGGGTGGTCATAGTTGCACGTCCCGTCTGTTTTTCCAGATTTCTCATGTCTGCAGATACCAAGTGCATAGTATGTGCACAGGCTTGGTTTCCATTTGCCTTGGGTTTCTGTGACTGTATTCCCTGTTGGTGCATGTGTCTCTGTCTTATTCCTATCCTCCCTAGCACCAACAATGGAGCTCCCACCAGTTGTTTTTGGTAATATATCCTCACTATTGCTAGTGGAGTCCTCTTGTTTGCTATTTCCTGCGGTATTTCTAGTTTGCAATATTAGTTTTATTTTATCTTTAACTACACTTGTTTCCCCACTACGGCTCCTGTCCCCTATGAGGTCATTTATATGTATTCCTTCCCGCATATAATTCCCGACTACCTGGACAAAATCTCCAGCTTCACCACTACTGTCTCCCAGGACAGCACCTCCAGCTTCACCATTACTGTCTCCCAGGACAGCACCTCCAGCTTCACCATTACTGTCTCCCAGGACAGCACCTCCAGCTTCACCATTACTGTCTCCCAGGACAGCACCTCCAGCTTCACCATTACTGTCTCCCAGTACAGCACCTCCAGCTTCACCATTACTGTCTCCCAGGACAGCACCTCCAGCTTCACCATTACTATCTCCCAGGACAGCACTATCAGCCCCACATTTACTGACTACCAGGACATCACCTCCAGCCTTACAGTTTCTGACTACATGGCCAGTATCAAGGGCAGTACCATTCAGCCCAGACTTTTTATGTTCCCATCTGTTGTATTATTATTATAATCAAAAAGAAGCGCTAAGCCACAAGGGCTATACAGCGCCCCATCTGTTGTAGAAAGCTTCCAGGTTGTCTATGAAAGCAGCTTTGATGTTATTCTCTTTTAATACCCTTGTGATTTTAGTCCACAGATTTTCCTCATTTGCGCATACCCAAAAACACTTCCCTGTTTTAATACTGCTTGTAGCTAGTTCTTGGATATCTGCACAAGGGGCGTGACACCAATTTCCACAAAAATGACAATTTATCCATGTGGAAGCCCGTTTGTGTGATTGACTGCAGACTATACAGAGCTTCATAATGATTTGAATGGTTGATTTACTGTAATTCTACTAGCAACCTCTTGAATACTCTATTAATAACCTCCTTAAATGAAGCTCTAGCTATTTGTATTTCTATTTCTAACTGTACTTGTATATTGGACAGCTTACCGTGTACGTTCCTGATTTATATTTATTGTTTGTGTTTGAAAAGGGCGCCTACAACCCCATCCGTTTACAGTCTGCTTTATTGTCCAACGAATCCGTTTGAAACCAGTCAAGGGTTCGGACCATCAAGGGTTCGGACCAGTCGAGGGTTCGGACCAGTCGATCTGATCTGATTAGTGGGTCACTTATTTAAAACATACTAGTCGGTGATTTGGGCTAACACATGAAGGATCTACTTGAAATTATCTACCCGAGTAATATGTGATTTGATTGATACAAAAGTATAACTTGCGTGTTGAAGAGCCGGTGATTTCTGGCAGCTCCTACAATGACGAACGGTCGAGCCTCAACCCTTGTTTATCAATCGCTGTATCTAGCTTTTCTAGTTTTTTTTTTTGTCTCCACCACAATAAATGCTATATTATCACTATAGTTGACTGGTCGAAATTTTGGAGGAAGGACGCTTTTTCTGTAGTAATAATTGCTTCTCGTTGTGTATATTGCGACCGCTGGTAACTACAGGTTATATGAAATTCACAGTATACGTCTGGTATTTCAAGAAAAAAGAAACTAATGAAAGTCACTCCACTCCACTAAGTACCATTATAATACTGGTTAGTTGCTACTACAACACTGTATTCTGCTATTCACTGGTATCACTAGATTATATGCGAGTACACTAGCAGGCCAGGAAGATTATTAAAACAGCTGACCACAGTGGTAAGTTTCTGGCGACTTCTGGCACCTGCCTCTATAGGCTTATCACTTCATTTACAAATTCACCTGTTTTCAAATGACACTTTAGCCTTTATCATCTATATACTAGGGAGCCACTGTAGTATACACTATACACTATGTATACACAATGTTATCAGGGAGACTTTCTTTCCTCTGACAAAGAAAAGTTCTATTATTATTATTTTGCACACGGAACACAGGCCTATGATTCCCCTCTGGCAGTAAACTCTACTAGGTACTGCACACTAATTCTCCGTTTTTGACTCAGTATATAATGTTTTCCGCGCAAGATTGGTTCCAGTCAACAATGGATAAAAGGTTCAAAGTGACTGTTTCAGTTATGATGTGAGAGTGCATAGGTGAGTAAGTGTGTACCGAGTATTTAGCATTTAGTCTAGGGTGATTAAGTGGCTTTTGAGAAGAGTCTTAAATTGATTTTCAGACTGGGTTACTTTAATATCTTCTGGTAATGAATTCCATATTTTGGGGCCCTTTATGTGCATAGAGTTTTTACACAGTGTGATATGGACACGAGGTATATCAAAAAGAGATCTGTGTCTTGTGTTGTGGTCATGTGTCCTGTTTAGGTTGGTGAGAAGTTTGAGTGGAGGGTTTATATTTGCGTGTATTGTTCTGTGTATGTAGTAGGCACATGAATAAGTATGGATGTTCTTAAGTTGGCCCATAATGTCTAGGCATAATAGAGGCTCTCTTTGCATTGCAACCCACTATTGTAAATACAAAATCTCAATGTACTGTTTGCAAAGACATAAAATAAATAAATAATAAATAAATAAATAAATAAAACACCTTTTATCCCTAATCTATCCCAGCTCCAGCTAAATATGTAAAAGCTATACATACATTTGGTCAATGTCACAAACATAGGTAAAACATTATAATCAATATATACTTTCTCTCAATATCTGTAATCCTCTCAAACGTTAAACAATTCATTTTGTCTTCTTTAGGTTTTATTTATTTTATTTATTTATTAACAATTTGAGCATACATACAGAGGTACAAAAAAATACAGATAAGAGCAGCATGCCAAAGCCACTTATACTATGCATAGCATTACGGGCTGGCTTAAAATTAACTAAGCAATGATGAAATCAGTGATAATACATTATTGTAAACAGATAACTATAAAGCACAAATGAGTATTACAAAGACAGGTCATATGGTTGCATGCATTGCTGTACATTCAGTCGTATGGAGTATTCTGTTAGGTAGTGTATTTAAAAAATAATAAAGTTAGATTGGGTTTTAGGTTTAACATTTATGTGATATAATTGTGAGAAACATTTAAGATATACAATTTATAAGGTTCAGTTATTCGGTATTTATTTGGTTTTGGGTGAGTAAGTGAACTTTGAGAAGAGACTTGAATTTATAAACAGGTTGTGTTTCTTTTATATTTACAGGTAATGAATGCCAGATTTTAGGTTAATAATCAAGCCTGTAATTCCTCCCTATTAAAGTTACTAGAGCCATATATCATGAACTAATAGAATATTCAATTCTTTTATATTCACTGTAAACTCCTAAATTTACAATTACACTCATCTAAGTGATTGTTTGTACAAAATTACTCATATTGTTATTGCCTTATTAATCTTAAGTTTGTATAAAGTTTGCCTGAAATGTTCTGCATATAAAGGGGCTTTTGGCATGTGCACCCAAATGTCAATCTCCTTTGTACAAACATTGCATCATGCTGAAATAAATATATCATTATCATTACTTGTATTTTGTTATAAAGTTGTGGCGGCAGCACTCAGGTAACACCGGGTTCACTACGGCGTCACTTGTGGTCGCCCTGTAAACCACCAACAAGAAGGTCAAGAAGCAAGTGTTTATTTAGGTTATACAAAGATCTGTAAGGTTATACAAACGTACCTGTAAGTCTTTACAGTGATCTTGATGGCACAGATGTTATAGTTATACATTTAGAGTATATTATACAGTTTTAACCCAGTAAGCTAATTATAACTCACACGAGAGAGAGAGAAGTAATTTACGCATGTTATTCACAGTAAAGTGAAACAATTTGACTTGTTTTCATTTGGGTTTTTATTGTACCTTATAATCGGGTATATATTGAGGTTTAATATGTGACGTTATGGCCCGGTGGTCTGGAAGGTGGCCCGGTGGCCTGGTGGCTAAAGCTCCAGCTTCACACATGGAGGGCCCGGGTTCGATTCCCGGCGGGTGGGAACATTTCGACACGCTTCCTTTCACCTGTTGTCCTGTTCACCTAGCAGCAAATAGGTACCTGGGTGTTAGTCGACTGGTGTGGGTCGCATCCTGGGGGACAAGATTAAGGACCCCAATGGAAATAAGTTAGACAGTCCTCGATGACGCACTGACTTTCTTGGGTTATCCTGGGTGGCTAACCCTCCGGGGTTAAAAATCCGAACGAAATCTTATCTTATCTTATCTTACTAACACTATATTTGACATCAAGCTACATTTTCAAACTTAATACACCTATATGTTGTGATTGCTCGTGGCTCACTTGGTTGCCTCGGCTTCCACTGAAGGACTGCGGTTCGATCCTCGAACTAGCAGAAACGTGAGAACATAGGAGCATAAGAAAGAAGGAACACTGCAGCAGGCCTACTGGCCCATGCGAGGCAGGTCCAAGTCTCCTACCGGCTTCAGCCAATGCCCTAACCTGACAGTGTTAGACTCTGAGGTACCTTCAGTGACAGAACTTGAGTTCAATGAGGACTAGTTGTACCTCACTGAAATTCTGAGAACACAAGCATTCCTTAACTCATCCTTGTTGCATGTGCTTTGATGCTCATTCAGGTGAACAGATCTTTGCTGCCTGTTATTCTTACATTCTTCTTTGGGACAGTGTCCACAGAGAATGGTGTAGATGCCTGCCATGGAAAAGGTGTAAAACTTCTTTGTTACCAGGAATACCCAACAGGTGCTTGCTTCTAGCAAGCACCTGTTGGGTATTCCTGTTAACATCACTACATGGGAGCACTAACAACTGTTTGAGAAATGTTCCGTGGAGGATATGTTGAGGATAGCTTGTGTCTTGAGGCTGTAGTCCTAGATTAAGAAAAAGGGAACTTAAAGACATGTGAAAGCTTGTGTTACGTAGGTACATTCCACTTCAAGGAAACAAGGACTGGAGATGTATACCTGGAGAGGGTTTCGGGGGTCAACATCCTCGTGGCCCAGTCTGTGACCAGGCCTCATGGTGGATCAGGGTCTGATCACCCAGGCTGTTACTGTTGGTCGCACATAAACAGATGTATGAACCACAGCCTGGCTGTGGTTCATACTGACTTTAGGTGCCTGTCCAGTGCCTTCTTGAAGACAGCTAGAGATCTATTGGTATTTCCCCTTATTTATGCTGGGAGGCAGTTGAACAGTCTTGGGCCCCTGACACTTATTGTGTTGTCTCTTTTCATGCTCGTTGCACCCCTGCTTTTCATTGGGGGATGTTGCATCGCCTGCTGAGTCTTTTGCTTTTGTAGGGAGTGATTTTCCTGTGCAAATTTGGTACTGATCCTTCTAGGATTTTCTAAGTGTGTATAATCATGTATCTCCCACCTGCATTCCAGGGAATACAAGTCAAGGAACTTCAACCATTCCCAGTAATTTAGGTGTTTTATCATACTTATATGTACCATGGAGGTTTTCTGGGTCAGAAATTTCACCTGCCTTGAAAGGCACTGTCAGTGTGTAGCAATATTTCAGCCTAGATAGAACAAGCAGTCTAAAGAGTGTCATCATCAGGGGCTTGGCATCCCTGGTTTGGAATGTTCTCATTATCCATTCTGTCATTTTTTAGCAGATGTGGTAGATACAGTGTTGTGATCTGAAAGTGAGATCCACTGACATTATCACTCCCAGGTCCTTTACATTAGTTTTTTGCTCTATTGTGTGGTTGGAATTTGTTTTATACTCTGATATAGTTTTAATTTCCTCACATTCTCCATATTGGAGTAATTGAAATTTCTCTTCATTGAACTTCATATTGTTTTCTGCGGCCCATTTAAAGATTTGGTTGATGTCCACCTGGAGTCTTGCAGTGTCTTCAGTGGAGGACAGTGTTGTGCAGATTCAGGTGTCATCTGCAAAGGAAGACACTGTGCTGTGGCTTACATCCTTGTCTATATCAGATATGATGATGCTGCTGTTAGGAGACTTGCACAGGAGGATGACAAGAAAAGATGTTTCCTTGATGAGGAATGTACTTTCATAACACAAGCCTTCATATGTAAGTTGTGAAGGTACACATTATCAATTATCCAAGCTGAAGTTTCTCTATATTGCATATCTTTCACTGTGTTCACTGATCATGACCTGCACTGAACACTTTGCCAGTTGAGAGCCTTTAGTCTGAAAATATGTAAATTATCATAATTTTGTTCACAACTGTTGTTACAGTTGCTGCTTTAGGGAGAAATTTATCAAAATCTTATTTTTTGAGAAATTAAATATATATATACGTATATCTATACATATTATTTTCACATTTTTGAATAATTTTCTAACATTTTCAGAACATTTCTCAGGATCTCCACCATTAGGAGGTCGGCCTAAGGTACCTGTTTCGGTTCAACATACTCCTTTTAACCCAGTTTCTGGTGTGGTTTTTGCAGCAGGGAGAAGGGGGAAAGCAGTCTGTTTGTCATGCAAGACTTCTCTGCTGTTTGGTGCTTGGATACAGGATCTCTCTCCTGGAGTATGTCTGTGCTGTATCTGTGATCAGAGAGATTGGCTTCTATCCCTGCCCTTCTTGGATAGTGCCTTTGGTGCACTTTTGTTGGCAGTGGATAGGGGCCCCTAAGTGTCAAGCCCCAGTGATTTGGAGCATGATTTGGTTCATGCTTCAAGGATAAATGTCTTTACCAATGGATCTAAGAGTGAGGGGATACTTTGAAATCTTGGTACTCAAACAGCTCCCTACTTGAGCAAAGCTTGGCACTCAACCAAACAAACACGACCTGCCAGAACTGTGTTGTAAACTATTTTGTGTTCTCTTTTTTTGGTGTTTTTTTATATTGTATAAATAAGTCACCATGGAGTCTTTGAAGATTAGTGATAACAGCCAACCAAAAAGAAAATTGGTCGGGAAGAATTCGTTCAATACTCGAATGGATCAGCACTCGAACAGCCTTCCAGAATGAATTAAGTTCGAGCACCGAGGTTCCACTGTATTGACATTGCTGTGATTGCTGGTTAGAACTCTTATTTTGCATGGTTAATTAGTTTAGTGTCTTTATTATGCACCCCATACTCATCCTGTGGGAGGTTTGCATGATTACCAGGTGTCTTCTGTGTTCAGTGGAGCTCACTGAAAGCTTCGCTGCTCTTATCTTATAGTTGTTCTTGGTTCACTGTGTACTCAGATCCTCAATGTTCTATGTTTGCTCTGGCCCAGTATGTTTCTGTTCACCTTTTGGTCCAAAAGATCCAAGAGTGATTGGTGCATCTCCATGCTTGACATAAAGATTATGGAGTTCCATTGATGCCCAGGCCATATTGGTGTCCCAGGAAATGAACAGGCAGATGCCAAGGGGAAGGCTACTGTAGCAAACCCACTCTACAATAGACTTTTGCCTTAGTGACTTCATGGACCATTCATAGATATGTCCTTGGGAAGTGGCAGACCCAGTGGACCCTACAGACAGGGAATGAGTTACTTAACTGTACAGGATTCAGCAGGATATGGATATTTGGCATTCCTCCTTCAACAGGAATCGTCACTTTGAGATGGTTACGCTGCTGGATTTCGATCTCGGAGAGGCTTAAAGATCTTAAAATGCTAAAAAATCAAAGAAATCATGCTAAAAAACTTGTTTTTCAGTATGCATGTAAAATTTCTTAAACTGTCATGCTTTCATGGTCACTGTGGCTCTGGTGGCCTGGTGGTTAACGCTCTCGCTTCACACGGTGAGGGCCTGGGTTCGATTCCCAGCCAGAGTAGAAACATTGGACGTGTTTCTTTCCACCTGTTGTCTATGTTCCCCATCAGTAAAATGGGTACCTGGGTGTTAGTCGACTGGTGTGGGTCGCATCCTGGGACACTGACCTAAGGAGGCCTGGTCACAGACCGGGCCGCGGGGGCGTTGACCCCCGGAACTCTCTCCAGATAAACTCCAGATAAACTGGTCAATGTAGTTTCCTTAGGTCCCCCTCCTGTAGCTGCACCACTGCTCTCAGCTGAGGATTGGGCATACTCACATGTGTCAGGGGACACACAGGTACTCCTGCCCTCCCCTCTGTGTAGCATGTGATGTTCTAATAACTGATAATCTTGGTGTTAAACTGTTTAGAAAAGTTTTCAGAAGAAGATTTAGGATATTTGATCATCAGTGTTTATTGACATAAGTTTATGCTACCAGACATCTAATATAGCTGACAAGGGTAACAGTGTTATTTAATAAAAATCATAATAATTATTTCTACAGGTACATGATACATGTTATACAGACCTAGCTGACATTAGTGACATACTATATAGAAAGCTCCTGGTAATGCAGAGCATTTTAGGCAACTTAGGTTAATCTTGTCCCCAAGGAAGTGACCCACACTAATCAGGTAACAACCAGGTACCTACTTGCTGCTAGGTGAACAAGGACAGTAGATGTAAGGAAACATTCCCAGTGTTTCCACCTGTACCAAGGATCAAACAACAGACACTCAGTGTGTGAGCTTAGTGCACTACGAACTGAGCAGTCACAAAAAATCCGCTATGCCATCTTAACAGTAAAAAAGCATACCCTAATGTATGCTTGATCAGTATTCACCAATATGTGGTTGCAGGGGTCGAGTCACAGCTCCTAGCCCCGCTTCTACACTGGTCGCTGCTAGGTCCATTCTCTCCCGGCTCCAAGAGCCTGATCATACCTCTTCTTATCAGTACATTGGA